GGCCGCCTTCGGAGGTGGGCAAGCCCGGCACCTCGGATGGAGCAGGGCCCGGGGCCTGCTGAGCGGGAGGCCACTTGCAGGCCTCTTGGCCCCTTCGGCCTCGGAATTTATCCTTAAACTGGACGGACCAGATCCTGGACGTGGTAACAGCGACTTTACACCCCAAGCTGGGAGTCAGGCAGGGAAGGCCTCGGACCGCAGCAAAGCTGCAACCTCCCCCAGCCCCCTTCTTAAAGAGGCAAAGAAAAATAAGAAAGCCGGCAAGAGAGAAAGAAGCCTTAGGGACATGTTTAAAAATGGTGCAGTGCACCAGACGGGGATGGGAAGGGTGAGGTATGTCTGGTGCGATCTGCAGAGCGCCGGGTGGTTCTGTACTTTTTTCACCAGTGAGCCGGGCTCGACCTTCCTCGGCAGCTCTCGGGTTCATCCCTCCTGCATTCCTGCAGTCCTCACACCCATCTACCCCTATCGCCTTAGCCTGGACTCCTGCAATAGCATGTCCTCTCCGCGAGCCCCCTTCCTGCTGCCAGAGTAATGGCCTAAAAAACGAGGCAGTCATCCCATCCGCCAGGCCTGCCCCTCTGCCACGTCCAGGGCTTGGCATTATCTGTCCACACTTCTCTTCTAGCGAGGCTCCACATGACCCCTCTGCCCCTTCCTGCCTTCCCCAAGAGCACACTAGTTATTGCATAAGACAAACACAAAGGCCATGTTTACTTAATCCCTATTCTGTCCTCCACACTTGCAGTGCCTCCCCATGTCCCCATCCTGAAACTGTATTCTGCTTTGAGACAAAGTCTGTAGACAGTTGTGCATGTAGAATAAAACGTCAGAGTGAGTAACGTGAAGGGTTGAGACAGGCTCCCCAGGGAATAGGACGCGTGACCTTGGTCAAATGACTTAACCTCTCAAGGCTTCAGTTTCCTCTTCTTAAAATATGGATTACCCATCTGTTTTACAGGTAAACAGACTATGTGTGTAGTGGTAATTAAGACTGTTCACCAGCTCTTTTCTGGTTCTTTCCCTTCCTGGGGATGTGGTAGGAATCCACGACCCCAACCTCTTGAAATGAGCCGTGGGCCATATGCCTTGCTTTTAGGGCAATGGAATGAGAGCACTGTTTTCATGTAGAAACTTTTCAGATCCAATGAGCAAACCCTCATGTCTTGACCATTCTGAAAGTACAGTCTTGGCAATCCAATCCTGACAACCATGGAGGTACCGAGATAGAGCCTCCCCTAGCCAGCCTGGGTCTCTGTAAAAATGGCCAAGCAGTCCCAGGTAACCTGTGTTGGAAAAGTAAGTGTGAGTGAGATTGTGGGGGTTGGGGGGGTGTTACAGCAGCATAACCCAGCTTATTCTGGCTGATAGTTTGCTCACAAGTGCCTGGGACATCATTGGTATTTGTTGAGTGACTAGCTCCTACCATAGGCTGGTACCATTTCATGACAGTAAACCCTTAGGTTGTAATCCATATTTTCCATTGAGGAAACCACATCAGAAAACTTAAGTCATTTGCCTGAGATCACACAGGTTGTAAATAGCAGCACCTGGATTTCAACCCTACCTGTCCAGTCCCAAACCTTGTACTCTTCCTCTTCCACATGTGCTGGGCTGCCTCTCCTTAAATGGGAAAGATGGAAACACCCGGTACAATGCCTGGCACACAGTCCTACCCAAGCACTGGGAGTTCCTCTCCAGACTGAATTCCTATAGCATTTATAATTGGAACCACACTTCAGCACAATGTTATCACGCATTGTATTCCGTGTTTTCCATAGATAAAGCTTTTCCTCCAACAAGACCCCCCCCCCCCCCCCCCCCCCCTCCTGGATTTAGACAGAGCTTGCATTCTGTAGTCAGACTGCCTGGGTTCAAATCCCTGTCCCACCACTAGCAATTGACAATCTTGGGCAACTCTTTGCCCTCTCTATGCCTTGGTTCTCTCATCTGCAAAATGGGGATGCTAATAACATAGGTGATATTGGCGGTGGTAACAATAATATGTCCCATGGGGTTGGTGTGGGTATTAAGGGATATAATATATACATTCAATAAATCATGGCTATTAATATACTTATTTTTCATCTTCCATGGCTCCTACTAGAATTCAGACCATTCCAAGCAGTTTAATCCTACTGCTTGTATAGGATTTCTGGGCTCATCCCGGATACAGGACAGTTGTTGTAACATCTGTAGTTGGAAGCATTATATCCACACGGTCCTATAATTTAGATTTCATAAGGCTCATTGCTTGTTTTTTATTACACTTTCTTTCCAAACCACTTAAAAGAAAGAAGGTATGTGTGCTTTTTTGAGAAATCTTTGTTCAGAAAACGGACCTTTATATGTATTGCTTCTAATCACCGTAAAGCTGCCATTTGGCTGTTATGATCCCCATTTGGCTGTTGAGAACACTGAGTCTCAAAGAAGTTAAGTTGCTTGTGATCGGACAGCTGGTAACTACCTGAATCAGGGTTTGAACCCAAGTCTCTGACTCTAAGATTTTGCCCTGGCCCCTATTCCAAGCTGCCTGACATCCCAGCTCACATCAGTGAATAGCTGTGCTTTGGTTGACACTAGTCTTCCAGTTTTCTAGATGAGGTTTTGGAAAGTTACCGAAGATTGTGGCATTTCCACCTTCAGTATGTTACCTGGTGGACATCTTGCATTAAAGAGCAATCTAAGAAGATGCTCATTCTTCACTGTGGCAGAGATGGCTAGCTGCCCACCAAAAATTTATGCTTCTCCTTTTATAGGGGAGTTGATGAACTGCTGCTTAGCTGGGGCTATATTTCCCAGCCTCCCTTGCATCCAAGCATGGTCACATGACTAGTTCTCTCTAATGGAATATGAGCAAAAATAATGGTCATTACTTCCAGGCCAGGATGTTTAAAAATGGGGTGTGCCTTCCCCACTTTACCTTGCTGGAAGCAAAGGATCCCAAGGCTCCAGTAGATGGTGGACTCACTAGAGAAAAGGAGCCTGGGTCCCTGCATCACCTTGAGGAATGAAGCCACCCTCTGGTCAGGACATTGGACTGGTACATGAGTAGGAAATAACTTGTATTCTGTTAAGCCCCAGAAATTAGAGGGTGTTTTTGTTATAGCAGCAAGTATTGCCCTCACTAATACATACAGCTTATACTAAGTCATATTTACATATAAAAAAGCAAAATTGAAGATTATGACAACCATCTGAATAGGCGAAAACAAAAATCCCACTTTTTTATTTCCTGTCTACTTACAGTACTTATAGAAGGAGAAAGCAGAGTATATGGAGCCAGTTTTTTCTTTAATTTTTTCCCTCAGTTACATGTATCAGAAACCAAAGAGGAGTATAGAGTGGTCATAAGACAATAAGCAATAAATTTAATCATTCAACTATATGTCTTATTTTCTTACCACATGCCAGGTATCTGGGGCTGAGGATGTCCTGGGACAACACAGGCATGGTCTCATCTTCATGAAGCTTCCTGTCTGTGGATATTAAACATAATTTACAGCAGTCAACTGACCTCTGGCCACCAGACTTCTTGGGAGCACCAAGTCTATTTGAATGTGAAATAGATACCTAAAATGAAAACTAAAATTTACTCACAAATCAAAACAGAAAGCTATGTTGCCCAGCCAATATTGCTCAGTGGTTGAGTGTCAACCTATGAACCAGGAGGTCAGGGCACATGCCGGGTTGCAGGCTTGATCCCCAGTGTGGGGCATGCAGGAGGCAGTTGATCAATGATTCTCTCTCATCCATTGATGTTTCACCTCTCTCTCTCTCACTTCCTCTGAAATCAATAAAAAAATATTTTTTAAAAAAATAGAAAGCTATGTTTTCTTCCCCTGCTAAGTGACTAAAGAAGCAGTAAGAATGGTGGTTAAGAGCATAGAATCCAGAATCAAAACCACTGAATTCAAACCCTGATGTGACCACTTTTAAGCCGAGCAATCTTGGACAACTTCCTCTGTTTTTCCTCATCTTTAAAATGGGGACATTAATAATACCTAGCTCAAAGGGTTTTTGTTGAGGACCAATTGAGTTAATGCCAAAAAAAAAAAGTACTGAAAACAGCATGAAATGTATGTTGCCATTAATATTATTTGCCACCTTCCCACGGGTATTATATTTTGTGTTTAAAAGGATACAAGAGGAGGCCTCTTCATGGGAGTGGACAGATGACATCAGGAAACAGAATTATTAATAGAACCAGCGGATGTTACAAGGATTCAACTGAAACAATCCAGACTGAGATCTTACTTTTCGTTTTTCTCATCCACGCGGTGATGAAGAGAGCAGAAGGCTCCTGTTTGGGAAGATCACCAGTTTGAGTAGCCACCATCGTATGGGGACAAGGCAGGGCGTCTACCCCTGCTGCACACAGTGGTGCCACCTCGGGCAGGTGTCTCTGCCTCTCTGTGGAATGACGTCATCAGGTGAGATGAGTTACGATGACTGCTGTGCTGACCATTTGGGCCCTTTTGCAGATTTCGGTTTTACGTTTCTCGCACATTCCTTATTTTTCTCCCTCCTCTGTGCCCGAGTGCAGAGGATGGGGCAAGAGGACAGTTGGCAACAGTTCCATTGGCTTTGTTTTCTCTGTCCTGAACTTTACACTGAAAATAAGATAGCTTCTTCCTGAGGGGAAAAAAAACAGCAGGATTCGTTGGAAGGTTCTATTATAGAGAACAGAAACTGAAATGTGAGAAATTCCCCGCCAACAGGGAAAGCATTCCAGAAGCAGAAAGCAACACTGTGCCACCCTGGGAAGAGCAGCCACCAGAAAGCAAATGTGTCACATGCAGGAATGTGCTGGAGTAGGTGGGGAAAACCTCTGATGGGCGACAATGGGGGAGGAGAGCCTTCAGGGTTCCACTGAGGTTAAATGAGGGGTTCTGGGCCTGCTGGGGACATATAAAGAGATCAGCTCTACATTTGTTACCCGAATGGGCAGATGCATTCAACCATAAAGCACTCAGCTTTACCATGGGCCCATCATGAATCTAGGTACCGTGGACACAAGTGAACAAAAACGAAGTCCCTGCCTTCATTGGGTGTACAGGTAGACAATTTACAGATGGACAAATACATGTATTAAATGTCAGGCTGGCATGGCTCAGTGGGTGAACATCCACCTATGAACCAGGGCCCATGCCCAGGTTGTGGGTTCAATCCTCAGTGTGGGGCATGCAGGAGGCAGCCGATCAATGATTCTCTCTCATCAATGTTTCAATCTCGTTCTCCCCGTCCCTTCCTCTCTGAAATCAATAAAAATATATTTTTAAATGTTAGATAATGGTAAGGGCTGGTAGGAAGACCAAATCAGGGTTAAAGAGGTAGGGAATGATGATGGGGGAAGGAGAAGACTTTCTGATGACAAGGTGACACTTGAGCAGAGGTCCCCAAAGAAGCAAGGGAGTGTACAATCTGGATATCCGGGGGACAGAATGGAAACCTGGGGAAGAGCCTACCAGGCATAGGACACAGTAGGTGCAAAGGCCCTGAGACAGGAATGTCCTTGGCATGTTCCTGAAACAGTGAGGAGCTCATAATAAAAGAGTGGCGTGAAATAAAAGAGCAGCAGGAGTGGAAGCCAGAGTTAACGAAAGACCAAATCCTGCAGGGCTATGTGCAATGGTGTAAGAACTTTGGGTTTTATTTTGAGTCAGGCAGGAGCCACTGGCCAATTCTGATTAGAGCAGTAATGTAATCAGACTTGAGTTTGAAGTCTCCCTCTAGCCACTGTATTGAAAATTGACTTGGGGAGAGAAGGATGTGATTTGGGGGCTGGAGGAGGGGCTGTGACAAATGCTAAGGAGAGACACCTACAGGAACTACCAAGCAAGAACCACAGCACTTTGGTCAGTCTCCTCAGTGCCTTCCTTTCTTCATGCAGTCACCATAGTTTGTTCCTGAAACACACATCCCACCCTGTGTCTCCCACCTCCAAGATTCTGCTGATTTTCCGTGGCCTTTAGGACAAAGTCCCAACCCCTTAGCCTGACACAGCTTGACAGGGTAATGAGAGCATTGACTTTAGCATTAGAAAGACCCGATTTGAGGCCTGCCCTGACCCTTCACCAGCTGGGTGACTTTATCCAAGTCACTGGACCTCTTAGACCTGGGTCTGTTCTCTCCTACTTGTCCTGACCTACTTGTCAGCTCCGTGAGGGCAGGGACTTTGTCTTGTTCTCCGCTGCATATTCAGCACCCAAAACAATGCCTAGCACATAGTAGGCACTCAACAAGTATGTGTGGAGCTCAACAATGAACGAGCTAATGTAGGAGAAAGTATCAGGCATAGTGGCTGGCACACAGGTGCCCAACGAATGTGACTTTCTCTTGCTGAGTAATGCCCGTGGCCCTTTCCCTGTATGGTGGGACCCTGACAGTACTCCTGACTCATGTCCACACCACCTCCTCCCACCAAGACCCTGCGTTCCAGGGTCA